TCTCTCATCAAGACCTGGAAGAATCTTCTGCTTCTTACCACTTCCACCAGACGCTGACTCCAAGACCGGTTTGCCAGTTCACGTGCATGGCTACTTTGGCCTCACAGATAATCGGCGTGGTCTTAAATGGCCAGGCCTTGACTGTCAGGATGATCCAACCGCAGAATGGAATGTGTCACTAGTGCAGCATGTTGCGAGTGAGGCCTACGCCAATGTGTTGCTCCTTGTTAGAGATTCATGTGACTCTTCAGTTGGCGCAGATTTGGTGTACAAGTCCTGGCCAAACATTCAGAAAGTTGAGATACACTGGCAGTGTATGCTGGAGCACATGTTTTCGATTTTATTAAAAGAAAACATCTTCTGGACCCCTGCACATCATGGTCAGTGGAAAAACCTCAGTGACGCCTACTTGGACAGAATGACAACCCAATTTCAGAACACATCCGATGAAACAAGACGCGCAGTTCTAGACACATTGACGCAAGCAAATGAGGCCGTTGTAATCGTCCCGAGCCACGTCATGATTGCGATTGATAAATACACGTCAATTTTTACGAAGAGCATCACTCCCACATTCTTGAGGGCTCTGCTGAAAAAGAAGGAAAAGGGAGTTTGGAAGATAACCAATGTACCGAAGGAGAAGAAGCTTTTACTACTCGAATTTTCTCTCGCGGACAAGAACCTTAGCGACATGCGAGGAGTTCCCCTTTTGCCCCTTGCAAATGGAAGTTTTGTTGATTTCCGCTCAATCCAATACAACCGAGAACCAGCCGCTGCTGTGTACGTTTCGTCAACAAACATTCCCCGTTCTATTTTCCACAACATGGACAGTAAGTTCCTCGACGACAACGTTAAAACTCCTGCCATTACATATTTGTCGAAGGTTGCTACTGATGCCGAAAGTCCCAACACAATCCAACCCGTGCAACTCGTCAAATTGAATCAAGCCAAGACTCTCAAGCTCCTGCGAGAGATGCTTCCATCGGAATGGTATAGAGGAAATCATCCAGTACCTTGGTACCCCGGCAGAAATGGGCATCCGCCAGAGCGCTGGTTGGAGTCAGTTTGGAAGTGGATTCAGAAAATGTTCTCTGATCTCTCCTTGCTCGAAAACCTCCCGCTCATTCCGCACACATGTGCTGGAAACCGAAGCATAGTGAAGCTGAGTTCATCAAGAGTCGTCATCAGAAGACATTACCAGAGTGTTTGTTTACCGCCGCTTATTGTGTCTTTGCTTGGAAAAACTGGCTGCATTGTTCTAGAAAATCTTCCATCGTACATTCATCACAACACCCTACATAGATACGTCGCCTCACCTGATCCTAATGGCGTCCTAAAGGTCTTGTCTACGTTGGATCAAAGCAGATGCGTATCAATGATTACCCATTGTTCATCTGATGAGAAGCAAGCGCTACGAAGTTTCCTCTCTTTCGCGTCCTCAAGTGTTGATCAAAGAAACCTCCTGTATAACCTTCCTATTTTTGATGCAGCAGATGGATACTCCTTCATTGCTCTAATAAATGGATTTCAAGTTCATGGTGTGTTACCCTATGACTTCAAACTTCCTCAATCCTTGCCGATACCAAGAGCGTCCTCGGTCATTACCTTGAGAGATAGCGAATCTCATACCCTAATTC